AAGTCTGATTAGATGAATAATTAATGACTGACCTTTAGTAGCTACCTGACGTTTTGTAATCATATCTATTTAACAAGAAAAACTCCTCATCAGCTTCATTCAGCCTGGAACAAAGCTATGCCCCTGTTGTGTCACGTGCTTGAAGCTAGAAGTTGCTCGACTGCATTGACTGTTGATTGCTTTGGCTTGAGTTCACCAAAAGGTCAACACATTTTGCAGTTGAATTTTTTGCAGGCAAATTTTTTGCAGCTGAATTTTTTGCAGCCGAATTTTTTGCTGCAGAATTTTTTGCAGCTGAATTTTTTGTAGGCAAATTTTTACCAGATATAAATGCAGTATAAGGAATTTAATGTGTAAAAAAATTTTGTGTTTAAAAATTGGCGTACAAAAGAGGGCAGTTTCCAATTAGACTGTTTTTTTTCCATAGATGCAAAGCTATTGACGGTAAGCAGTTCATCATGACTTATGATGTAGGCCTACAGTTCAGAATTCATGTTTATCTGAATAAACACTTATTAAACAAAAATAAATCTTATTGAATATTATTTATTTTCATCACCAGTTATCATAGTACAAAAGCTTTCTCCAGCAGTTTGTGATGCATTTTGGAAACAGGAGATGAGCACCTGGTCTAACGAGCCACTTGGCAAGAGAAACCTGTTCAAAGACTTACTATTACATATAATTTAGGCAGCACACACATATTATCCTTATCTTATTTTATTATTATCCTTATCTTATTGCATTCTTATATCTTATTTGAATTTACAATCTTATTTTTCTCTCTTCTGCAAATGGTTGCACTGCCAGAAAAAAATTCCCACAAGAGATTAATAAAGTAATTCTGATTCTGATTCATGAAGCCCTTTGGCAGAATTCAAATGAGCCATTTTAATCTAGGTTAATCTCGATTAATTCCAAGATTGCAGTGAGAATAATCTAGATTTAAAAAAACAAATCTATACCTACTACTAATTTTTAGATATACTGGTGTGAAGAGATTACCATATAGACTACAGTATTCTTTAGTCAATAACAAAAGAATGTTTAACAGACATAATATATAGGTAAGGCAAGGCAAGGCAAGGCAAATTTATTTGTATAGCACAATTCAGTACAATTCAGTACAAAGTGCTTTACATGATTAAAATACAGGAAGATAAAACAGAATCAAAGCAAGTAGGAAAAAATTAAATAAATAATAAAATAAAAAATGCAGAAACAAAAAAAGAACATTAAAAACAGTTGGAAGTTTTTGTTAGATTACAGTTTTTGTTAGATTTAGGTATTAAACATACATTACTTGAGCTATAAAGACTGTTTTTCTATATAAAGTGTTTTTATCAATCTGATATAATAATCATTATGATTTTGTTGGTGGAAAATTATCTTAAAGGACAATGGAAAATAAATATAAAGACTTAAAAAAAGCAATCTGTGTTTCAATGAGTGAATGTAGTTTTTGAAAAGAAAATGAACCTTTCAATAGTATTCTAATTTGTGACAAAAGCTAAAAAGCTAATAAACCAATTTAACGTCAGTTCTGAACAATGTTGTGTACAAAGGAACAGGAAACAATAGAAAGCATTAACGTTATTTTACTTTTGTTGTAGTGCTTTAATGTAATGTATGCCTAATGATAAACATTCTGAAGTGAAACTGAACTGAATAAACAGAGGAGCAATGAGCTGATAAAGCTCAGCCTGCTGACTCTTATTTGGTTACGTTGCCATCTTTATTCATTTAATTTAGTTAAGTTGTATTTTATGCGAATTTGGAATCCACATCATTAATAAATCACACAAGGATGCTGTTTTTTTTTTCCTGATGAATCAGTTCTTCATTAAAAACTGTTAATAATCAGGCTAAAAACAAACTCCCAGTAAACACATGACTTAATAAGTTACATGTAAAGCATACCCTCAACAACCAGGTGCCTTTATTGACTGATTGAAACGGCCCTGACGATGTTCTTTTGTTCATGTATGTATGTGCACAAAGGAAAACCTTTTAGTGGTTTCTGTGTGACTTTGTATGTTAGGTAAACAAAGAAAAATGTGAGCAGAAGATTCAGACCAGGCCCTTTAAAACGCAGAATGTCACAGCGCTGGGTGAGAGAGAAGAGAGGAGAGCTGCTCTAAATCCTGAAGAACTTGAAAAGAGAAGCAGAAGATAAGTTTGGGATTGATAAAGTGAGAATAGATATGATGTGCAGGGCAGTTCTGCACATGCTGATCCTGCTGACATCCCACTGTCAATCTTCTGTTGAGAATGATGCTGGGGTTACAGCTTCCTGTTCACAGGACCAGAGGGCATTTCGAGGTTCATGCTTTGAGTTTGTAGGTCAGCAGCTCCCTTTTCACAGAGCTCAAGATTGGTGTGAGAAGAGTGGTGGACATCTCGCATACATCCCAGATATAGAAACTCAAAATTTCCTTGAGAGACACATGGACTCTGAAAAAGACCTGTGGCTTGGACTGACACCAACCTGCTCCCTAAAATGGTCTGTAAATGCTGAAGGTAAGATGGCAGAGAAAGAGAAGGCTAAATATTAGCTGGTGGGTTATCTGTGATATTCAAAAACATTGAGATCCATGAAGCATTCTTCTCTAGACCATTGATTATAGCTAACTAGGTTTGATAACATGTAATGATACATCATTAAGTTTGTGTAAATTACTGGGGGGAAATATCTAACTTTATATTGTGTTTAGATCAAAAGTAACCAATGAATAAACATGAAGTCATTTACAAAGATAACTGGCAACCCATCTTGCAAATCAAATGTTTCATTTTAAAGCTTCAAATACTTCACCCTTCACCCTTCTCTGGAGAGGGACCTGGTCTCCTTCTATAACTTTAAATGTCTCCTACTTGTTTACTGTACACAATGTTTAATTTGATTTATTTTTAAGCCATTAATGATTATCTTTAATTTAAAGTTTAAATAATATCTTCTAAATAAATACCTTCATAGACTACAACCTAAAACATGCTAATTATTGAAATCATGTCATTTGAAATAATATATGCATTCATGTTTGACCCTACAGTGGGTGTATAGATGCTGTCATGGTGTAACAAAAGCACTTTTACCTTTGCCAGCCAATCTGTTTATGTATATTCTCCTCTCTTTGCTTATGGAAATATATTATCAGATATTCAAAATAAAAATAGCTTTTTTATCTACACATTTTCCAATTATATTTGTTAGAAAGAAAAATGTCTCTGATAACTTAAACATGCGTAGTAAGACCAGTTATTTAAATGTTTATTTAAACCTAACTTATCTTTGATGTTCTGCTTTTATAAAATTGTGATCATAAAAAAATTATTCACTGAACATTTGTCAGCTGAAAGTAGCAGAATGCATAAAGGTGTATAAAACATTGCAGGTGGCATTCCCCAAGTCTCTATATTAGGCCCCTTTTATTCAATATCCATATGCTGCCTTTCTCTGATTTTAATAAACACAATTATATATATTACAATGTCACCAGGTGAGTCTAAACCCATCCAAGCGCTGCGTAAATGCATAAAAGAAATCAAGGGATTTTTTGGATGAGCAAAATATTTTCCCTTAGCTTAATCAAGAGAAAATTGAAATAATAGTTTTTGTAGCAAAAAAAAGACTGTTTAAAGGTTAGTACACAGCTTCAGTTCTTACAGCTATAAACCACTAATCAAGTCTGAAATAATGGTTGTAGTGATGGACTCAGAGCTGAACCTTTAGTGGCACGTAAAGACGGTAACAAAGACAGCCTCTTAGAGTACGTCACCAGGATTAAAGGACTAATAGCTCAGGACATTGAAAAAGGAGATTACGGGTGTGCCTTGGTGACGCACGGTGTCTAGGGCACATGACCCATGTATGCCCTTAGTCCTCGACAAGAGCAACTAGTGCTGTAAAAATCAACCAAAAATGTAAATTATGTTTTTATCTTTAGCAAAAATTATTTCTGCAACAGTGTCTTAATTTTTCTGCTTAAAAAAAAAAAAAAATATATATATATATATATATATATATATATTTATTTTTTTTATTTTTTATTTTTTTTTCTGCGTTGTGTCATATTTATTTATTTATGCCTTGCCTGCTGAAAACATTAGGTGCTTGTTCATCAATACTTTGCTTTATTCTCAGCTCCTTCTTTCTCTTGGCTCGATGGTTCACCTCTCACCTTTTCAAAATGGGTAAGAAGCCCACAGCCTGGCACAACTTGTGGACACATACTGAGACGCTCAGGCTTTCGGTGGGAAGCCACAGAAGACTGCAACCAAAACATGCATTTCATCTGTCAGTTTGGTATGTGTTATAAGTTACACTAACAGCAAAGCGGCTCACTGAATCACAATGTGATCACCTCTACTAACTTTTTTTTATTTTTTCTCAGAACCTGGAAGAAGAATTGTATGTTTGGGTCACAACACCACTCTGCAGTGCGGCTCTGGTCAAGCATTAATGATAGACGGGGCTCTCTTTGGTCGGGGCAACATTCATTACTGTCGTCCCAGGTTCTCCACACCAACCTTCACAGAGCATAGGTGCAGCTGGGTGGATGTCGCAGCCTCCATTAAAGGTAAAACAATGTGACAGGTTCAAATAAGTCCATTATTAACTGGCTGTTTATCTTTGTTCCTGCATATTATGTCAAGCAGAGTTGAATCGATCTTATCTGTGCAACAATTATAGCATCTCATTTATTCAGCTGTGCTCAGAAATGGGAAAACAAACAGCCGTTTAATGCCTCTTGAAAGGTTTCAGATAAACTGAAGCAAGAAATCCAATCCATCCTTTAATGTAATGTTTGCTTTTCTTATCTCAAATAACACATTATCTAACTGCGGACATGTTTGAAAAGACTAACAGTCCATCAGGACATTTCCAAAAGAAAACCTTTGTTGCTTAAAAGCCTAACGCTTGAAATATATGAATGATACCTATCTATCCATTTCAAATATTGACTCATGCATACAACCAATGACAAAGGTAGAATGTCATGAATTCATCTCTTTGCCTTCCTCGGTTGTGAAGTTTCTTTATGCAGCTTCCTTTGTCACTGATATATTTATTTAAAAGTTGGCATTAAAAAGACACATTCGTGACTTCAGCTAACAATACCATGGGTAAGTCAATGAAAAAACCTCCACGTGACCTTCTGGGTAACAGTAATATAAAGTGGTGTACTTTATAGACCAACAAAGTCGACATTAGAAAGGCAGAAATAGATTTCACTCTTAAAGTCTTAAAAATACATTTATTTTCATTTTTATACATAGAATATTTTTGATGTGGATGAAAAATGACACAAAGCTTTCAACACTTATTTCGCAAAATAATTCCTAAAAGTACATATTTGCATTCAGCCCCTTTTAAACCAACTCCCCTGCTAATCAAAATCAACCAGGACATTATTTTATCTGAGTAGGAATACCAATTGTTCTGTGGAGGCCTAAGAGGTTCATAAAAAAAAAAATGTTTAAATCAAATCATATTTAAAGTTTTAGAATAGTCCTGTCAAAGTCCAGACCTTAGTGAGAATTTGTTAAACGACTAATATTTTTTTATGACATTCTTAATCCAGTCTGACAGTTTAAGCTGTTTTTTTTTTTGTTTTTTTTTTAGCAAACATGTATTCAAGGAGAAATTAGGGTGGCATAATCAATGTACATGACATAACTTTAACTGTTCTTGTTAGATAATCTTGCATGCACCATATTTTTTCCATGTCACAATAAAGTATTTTTGTTTGTTTGTAATATCCCAAAAAAACATACACTGAAGTCAGTCATTAAAACATGAAAAAAATGTGAAAATGTTTAAGTGTTTCGCATTTGATTTTACGATTTGTTGAGTTATGCCTGTTGAATTACTTAAATTGAATATCTTAATGCTTATTTTCAAATACTTATATTTTGCAGCTCTGGTTAATTGAATTGTGAAAAAATACCTCCATAAATTGCAAAACAGGTTATTCCAGATCACCTTCATTTATATGAATGAAATAAAGTAAAAACATTTGACACAGCATATTGATGAGAGCAATTCATCCTAATTAACTCCAGATTAGAGACAAACATTTATTTAGTATTTTGGCAAACTTGGTTCATTCCATTCACCATGTTTTCTATAATATAGTTTAACCCTTCCTTTTGGATGATTAACATCTGGAGCTGATTCTGTGTTTATAAGATCAATGTCAAGAGCGTCAATTCTGCAGGATCAGTGAAGTTATGAGCTCATTTGATGACCTCTGTCCTGATCTAAAGAGCTACCTGACTGTGGACTACCACTGCAGAGATGGTAAGTCACCATCAATGTTAAATTCTGCAGTAATTCAGTTTTAAATCCAGTAAAAGACTTATAATATGTATCTAATTTTCATTTTTTTTTTTTGCAAGACATTATCAATTGTAAAATATTGTATATTGTATAATTTTATTATGCTTAGCTTTGCTTTATGATGTATGTATCTTTATGTTTAGCAGCAAAACAGTTATGGAAATGGACAAAACCAATTGTTTTCAGGGTTCAGACTAAAGCAAACTGTAACTGGTTAAGGCCCCCTGCTGGGCTGGGGTGGGCTAGAATCAAACGGTGACCCCAAATGAAAGAGTTTCATACAGCTTTGGGCATAATAGTTATTTGATCAAAAAAGACACCAAAGTAAAAGGAGAAATATGCAGCAATGTGAAGAAGCTAAAATTAGTAATTTTTTACTGCTTTAAACATGTATAGCAAGACTAGTTATTTAAATGATTATTTAAACCTAACTTATCTTTGACGTTCTGCTTTAATAAAATTTAGTAAAATCATGAAAATCATTAGACAGAACATTTGTCAACTAAAAATAGCAGAAAGCATATAGTGTCTCCTTTGCAACTATTGTCTTTACTTTTCAGTGTAAAACTATAAACCGGAAAACCGGAAAAATATTAAGAGAGCCTTTTAATCACATGCTGCTCTTCAAGGTGTTTCTCATATTGCTGGTGTTACAGCACATCTGATTCTTTTAAAAGAGAACTTTTAAAAGAGCTACACTAAAAGTTTTTTTAAATAATAAGATATGGTCATTGGTACCTTAAAAGTACTGAAGTGTTGTAAGAATTTGACTGTGTTATAACAAAGTGAAGCTTTGGTCAGTGTTACTTTGATTCATCCATCCATCCAATTTCTGTCACGCTTATCCCAAGCCAGATCGCGAGGGGTGCTGGTGAATATCTCCTACTGTCTACGGGCGAGAGGACAGGTCGCCAGTTTATGTCAGGGAAACACAGAGACAAACAGGACAATCAACCATTCATAAAGACCCTCACCTAAAGATAATTTAGAGAAGCCATCAACCTAACAGTCATGTTTTTGGACTGTCGGTGGAAGCCGGAGTACCCAGAGAAAACCCACACATGCATAGGGGGAACATGCAAACTCCATGCAGAAAGATCCCAGGCCGGGAATCTAACCCGGAACCTTCTTGCTGCAAGGCAGTAGTGCTACCCACTGTGCCACTGAGCAGCCCTACTTGGATTCATCTAAAGGCCAAATATTTAAAATGCCAATTGTTCTATTATTCAACAAAAACAGCTCTCCAGTGAATTTAATCCTTAGGTTTTGACTTAAAATGAAATCACACAGGGCTTTTAAATATTTGTGCTGTAGCCCACTTACAGCAGTAGGTATTTATGCTAATCTAAATATACACTTTGCTTTTATCCAACAGTGATCACATTGTCACTTCCTGTTGTCGCTGCTGTTTATGAGGACATCAAAATTAAATGGCATGTATTATCACCAAGGGGAAACTGCAAGTTAAAGACTGGAGATGGACACATATATCATCTGCATAATCAGTAAGTGCCAGTATTAACGGGATATTTCATTATACACTAATTAGGACAGATGTGAATAAACAAACACAAATGTTGTTCTAATGGAATAATACTTTATGTTCAAATGACACAGTTTAATACCAATCAACTTCACTGCTTTACTCAAAATTATCTGTCCACAAAATCTCAGGAGTCAGTTTACTATTTTAGCACTCATATTTTCCTCTACACTCTCTTAAATTAAAAAAAACAACAAAAATAAACAGATTCCCTCATCTCAAGACTTTCCAAAGCTTTAACAACATACATGTATCTAATCCTTTAAAGACAATATCTGTTTTTACACAGCATCATGCTTTCTTTAAAAGATTCTTAAAATGAAGCAGACAAATGTGTGCATCTTTTCCACAATTTGAAAGATGGTTCCGATGTTTCCTTCATGGCTCAGTAGTTTGAGTCAAGGGGTTAATGTGAGGAGATGGTTTTGGTGAATCCAGCTGCTTAAAGGCACACCTTATGTACAGTGCAATATAAATAATAATTATTGTTATTACTTTCTAAACAATTATCATAAATCCCTCGAACTCAATGGCATACATTTCATCGTTGTTTCGGAGCAACTCGCACACTGCTGACTAAAATGGGGCCAACTGTGTCATAACTAGAAGAAATCTGTACTGATATCAGGGCTGCAACTAATGTCAGAGTCTTGGTTTGTTAGTTCCTGTTTTTCTTGGTTTTCCATTTGTTGTCCTCTGCTGCCCTCTTGTGTCCTCTTTNTTTTTTTCAATCTTTGTATAATTACTGATCTAAGTGGGTTACTCTGTAAGCTAAATACATGTTTTAGAGTCTCTATACTCCGGTTAAGGATCAATTGATTACTAAATTAGTTGACAATTATTTCAATAATCTATTAATCCGATTCATTATTTCAGCCCTAATTGACATTCAAAATTCCAACTGGAAAAAACAAACAAACTATAACATAAAAATAAAAGATCACTGTCAAAGTTGCATTTTTTTTCTTTTTTTTTCACTGTCAAAGTTGCATTTTTTTCTTTTTTTTGTTGTATTTATATTGTTTAACATTTGATTTTATACTTTTTTTCAATGACAGACAGATCATCCGTTTAAAACACCCTGAGATGAAAAACACAAAAATTTGGAAAGACGTATATAAGAAGTTTGAAGATAAAGTTTAGGTGTAGATGTTATAAAGAATCATGGGAAGGGAAAACCTGTACCTGGAAATGTAGCATGTAGTATTTTCATAAAGTGCAGCTTGTGCCAAAAAAGTCAAATTAATTAATGTCTCTTGAATTGCAAAAAGAGGACTGTAATCAAAATGCCTAAGCTCATATAATAAATCTAAAAAATTGAAAGATATTTGATTCAATTTGTTAATTTTGCTGCTTAGGAGGCGAACCCTGTTCTCTTAAAGGTCATGGAACAGGAAATCGAGTTGCTTTGCTTTCTTTTTTTTTTGTTTGATCTTTTTTGCTAATAATGTTCAGATAACTAAATAAAGGGGCATTGCATTATTGTGTATTATTATAGCCAGCTTATTATAAAGAGTCTGTTATAGTGTTGTCATGGTGTTTGCTGTAATGAAGACTTGTGTGAAATACCAAAATATCATAGTTAGATGTAGCAATGAGTAGACCCCCCCCACCCCAACTTCAACTGAGCTGAATGGTTGTTGGTCCTAAATGCTTTTTAAACATAGTTCCTAGACAAGTGTGAAAATTCTAGAAACCTCATGTCATTCTTTAAATTCTTAAAGTATTGCTCCCTAAAAACAGAACCAACTTCCTGAAAGGATTAGGTTTGTTAAAACTGTAGGCTTTTTTTTTAATCACAGCTGAAAATATCATAATTTAATTTACTCGCTATTATCTAAAGATCAAATATTAGTTAATCAGTTCACATTTAACAGATGTAAGTTTTTGTTTTGTTTAAACTTGGGTTTAAAGACTTTCTGTTTGCTATTTCTTTTATTGTGAGATACTATGTTAACAATTTTCATTAAATCTATGTTCAGTATTTTTTCCTCTTTCTAGCCTCTATTGAAAGTTAGCTGACATGAAAAGGGGATGAGAGAGAGGAGAAACATGCAATAAAAGTCAACAGGCCAGGACTCAAAATTACCGCTAAATTACTGCAGCGCCAGAGGCGTAGCCAGACATTTTTTATAAGTGTGGCCAGGCAATTACCAATGTACACTGAGAGGTGGCTGAAAGTAGATAGGCACCAGAACCCCACGGTCAATCTACACTGTTCCAACAGGAAAATTAACGAGCAAAACATCCATATTTTCTAAATAAAGACAAACTATTCTTTCCTACAGCCTTTGCTAACAAATAGACGCATATATTTAAACATCCGTAATTTCGAGATAAAGGTATAGTGGATAAGACCCAGTTTTCAAGTTCTGGTGCATAAGTCTTTTCCATAGTCATTACTTACCTACTTGTACCAAACAAAACATTCCGCAAAAATGTGATATTTACAAGCACTAATATCTATCTACATCTAATTCATTATTTGATAAGTGTTTTTTGTTTTTCATCTTTGATTTCACTGAAGACCCCTAGTTGACTTGCAGACACATTATTTTACTTTACCCCATATAACAGAAAATCTGGTTCTTCTATACTTATCATCTTTGATGTAAGTATATTGATGTGTATAATTAACCACAAAAAAAAAAATCAAATGTTTTGAATATTCCACTTGAGAGTATTACTGCTGCCACCATCTGTATTAGAGGGGGGGGAAATGGTAGGGGTGGCCACAGGGGTGGCCAGTAATTGGCTAAGGGTGGCCATGGCCACCCTTGGCCCCCCATCTAGCTCCACTTCTGTGCAGTGCCCAAATATTCAGTTTTTAATCCATGCAGATTTTTCTTTCCTGTAAAAATATTTGAACTACCATATATATATATATATATATATATATATATATATATATATATATATATATATATATATATATATATATATATTTGTATTTTTAAAATTCTTATTTGCAATATGAACAGTTTTTTTTTGTTTTTTGTTTTTCTTTTGCATATGTTATCTAGGTTCACGTTTTTCCCTAAAAGGTAAAAGCCCACATGACAACGTACCTTCTCTTTTGTCTGTGATAGTGTGATTTTTTTTTTTTTCAGGTTGAAGAGCAGCCTCGTGCATAAATACACTCATCCAAGTGCATTTGTTGTGGAGCTTGAATGCACTGACAGTGAAATACACATTATGGCCCAAGAGATAATTACAGTTGAAGAGCCTGTTGCAGAGATTGGTGCCATCAGATGCTTTGTTGGAAATTTGTCTTTTCATGAAACTGACTGCAGAGCCCTGTATGGAGGAGCATTTCAAATTCAAATAAAAGTCAAAGCAGGTAGGAAATAAGATGGAAATAATATAAAATATACCATCTTGTCCTGTTTGAGGTTGTCACTTACATTGCATTCAGCTGTTGTTGTTTAGGCCATTATTTCCTTTCCATTGTATGTTTTATGTTAAATATGGATTTTTTGTTGTTGTTGTTTTTTCAGGATCAAACGTGGCCTACAGAATACAAAACAATGATAAGCTGCTGGCTGACTTGCATGTTGTACAAGGAAATGTTCCCCAGAACATCACACTGAGTCCTGAGGCAGTGAAGCAGCTTGGCCCCGGCTGCCACAAGCTGAAGCTTTTTGCATCGAACTTGGTGACTTTTCCAGACGTTTCTACAAACCTTCAGGTAAGAGAGCCATAATGCTACATGGCCCTTGAGTTAAACACAGTCAAATGTTGCATCTTTCCTTCATATTTTTGCAATGAGCTTTTTGATTATTTTTTATTACAGACTTAATTGAGGCATTAGGATTTTAATTTGTGATTAACTTAATATGCTATTCTTTACTGAATCACATGGGGGGGAATCCAAGTATTACAGCAGCAGAAATAAATGTAAATTAGAGACAAGATTACAAAGTGCAGTACAATAAGCTGCTAAAATAGAATAAATTGACTAATTATTATTATTTTTATTATGACAACAGCCTGTTGGCCTCAGTTTAAATGTTTTTGCATAGATCCTGTGGCATTGATAATTTCAGCAGTGGTGTTAATATATAAACTATACAGATGCTGAGAAACATGTTTGCATTCTGGGTAAAGAGGTGCAGTAATATAAGTCTTTTTTCACATGTTTACCAGAGATATAAGGACAATGTCTACATAGGCTTTTTGTATTTACAATTCTTAGAAAATCTGCCTACATTTTCTTCAGATAAAAATTCAAAAATTTGACATAAAAAACTAAATGAAAGTATATGTAGATTTACATCCTTTATGTTCCTTTTGGGGCTGCTCAGTGGTGCAGTGGGTAGCACTGCTGCCTTGCAGCAAGAAGGTTGTGGGTTCAATTCTTGACCCGCGGCCTTTCTGCATGGAGTCCACATGTTCTCCCTGAGCATTCGTGGGTTCTCTCCGGGTATTCCAGCTTCCTCCCACATTCCAAAAACATGACTGTTAGGTTAATTGGCTTCTCTAAATTCTGCGTCTCTGTGATGGACTGGCAACCTGTCCAGGGTGTACCTCGCCTCTTACCTGTAGACAGCTGGAGACAGGCACCAGCGACCCCACTTGGGATTAAGCGTGCCAGAAGATGGATGTTTCTTTTTTTTTTTTTTTTTTAACCCTCAAACTATCTTACTTAATGTTCAATTGATTTTCTCATTAAATGTAACTTACTTCATAAAGTGTCTTTGCCTGCTGAGAAAATGTGAATCAAAAACAGAACAAATTCTATATATGCTTCAGGTTTGTGTTTTAGAGAAACTAGATGGACTTCAGGCCACCTTGCTGAAAGAGGCGAAAGATTGCTTTGGCTCTACATGCATTACTGTTGGAGTTTCTCTTAACCGCGGTGAGCCTGCTCTGCTCTTCTTCTCACTGACTGGAAAAAATGGGACATTTTCTGAAACTAAAGAAATGAAAAGAAGGAGAGAAGTTTTTCAGTTTGGTTGCCCACTTGAAGGTACAGTATGTATGGGTAAAAAAAGTTGGGTGCTGGCTCACAGACTAATACATACATTTTTTGAGTGATTCTTGATTTGTGGACATTTTATAGGAAATGTACAGATGAAGATTAAAGCATGTAATGCCTTTTCCTGCCTTGAAGAGGAAATGTTTGGCTCTTGTGATAAGAACTTGATAGTGAACAGTCTTTTTGAGCATTCATTACGCCTTACCAAGAATATGGTAATTCTATTCTTAAAAACTTTTTTATGATTGCAGTGTGCTGTGTGATAAATAAATATGATTTTTTTTTGGTTGCTTTTAGATAAAGAAGCCCGCAAGGGTTGTGAGATCTCCGGCTGAAATCTCTGCAGATCCTTCAAATTCAGTAAATCGGCCAGATGCAACTATTACTCTGTCGGTTGAGGAAAAAGGGGATATAAAACATGCCGAGGAATATCGGTGGAGCTGCAGTAAGATTCTTTCTTTATATACTGTATGCCTTGATGTCAAGTCAGCTCAGAGAAAGTAGATATTCGGTAAGGATAAGGTGAAAAATGAATAATCAGGTGAGGCAGCCAGAAAGGAATGCTGGATCTCTATTAGTTTATATCTCACTGACTACAACCTATGTTCACACACTCATCTGTCTTAAAATTTGCTGTGCGAGAATTTTCACTGAAGGCCTGCAGGATCCGTCCATGCATTCAGACAGACTCTCTTATTTTAAAATGCAGAGAATCTACTTCACATGTCAGGAGTCTAAATAATTTTATTTCCGATCTGGTTTTTAGGAAATGACAATATTGGTTTCATGATCCATCAGTAATAGACTTAATCTGGCTTTCCATCTTATATAAGTGCCATGAGGCCAGTGGCAGTTATTGCATCAACTAGAAAGGCTGATATTAGCAGTAAAGTCTGTGTGTATTTAGTGGTTCTTTGTTTCAGGACGTGGTCCAGCAGGTGCACTGCATGTGGAGGGCAGGGCATTTGGGTTTTTGCGGTTCCCAGCCACCAGTTGCTCAGGTTGTCTGCCTGTTTCCATCCTGGAGTGAAGGGGACCTCTTGGGTCCTGGGGCTGGTGATCCCACTGGAGTTTCAGAACTACTTAGGGTTAGTGTATATTAGGGCTGGGCGATATAGAAAAAAAGCTTATCGATAAAAAAAAATGCATATTGATCGATATTGATAATTATTGAAAAGATTTGAAACCATATTTTATGTGCAGCTCTGCCTGGACTTTTTATAATATTGCTAAATTATTTAATTTTAATAAAAAACACAAACACAGACTTCTAATTAAATCTTTATTTAACCAACTTTTTTAACCATAACAATTGTTTTAAAGAAAAATAACTTAAGAGACC